CCGGCTCCCTCCGGCCCCCGTCAGATTTACAGTAAATTAAAGACGTGCCGCGCTCCGAGCCTGGCAGCGAGACCACAGTGCGCGGCCGCGGTGACTCAGATTTGTTTTCCTTCAACCAAGTGACTCTGAGAGTATCCTTAGTAATGTCGCGTGTGGTTTTAGTGGGGAGTTTTAATTGTACTGGGAGATCGCATGGCAGATCTCACCCTTTTCCTGCGGATGACTTGAAAAACAGCCGGGAGGCCGGCTCCGCTCACTGGGGCCCCCGCGGTTCCTCCGCGGGCTGGGCCGAGCCGGGTCGGGGCCCCGGCCGCCCCTTCTCGCCCGTGGCCGGGGGAAGCGTCCCCGCTGCGGGAGCCGAGCCCCGCGCCAGGGCTGCAGCACTTGTTCTTAGTGATTGCAAAACTGGACCTGACTCACCACATTTGTGCAGTGAAAGAGACTGACCCTTTCCGTTCATACAGGAAACCTTGAGCTCTCGATAGGAGTAAATCTGGTTTCAGAAGCTGTTAAGTGTTTTCCTGGCCGCCTGAAGCAGGCTCTTCCTCGGGAGTCGTGCACATTGCTGATTACTTTATCGACATCCTCAATACAGACAAATTCAGGAAACACTCGACTTCTGATAGCCGGGATCCGTTTTTCTGATATTGTTCATTTCCTCTGTGTGGGATGTGACTTTATGACAGCTAAAATAACCAGTTGCTTCCTATTTTTTGAGTCTGTTTTGCACCAGAATTACTAAAGCCTGACGCAAGCAAAATCTCGAAAAACAATGCAGCGAATTTCAAAGGGTGCAGGCAGCAAGACAGAAAGACAAACAGTGTGACTCAGTGGCACTAGCCAGAGCCTCCTGCCCCGGGACGCGGCGGCCGCTCCACAGCGGGGCTGGATCTCCGGCGTGTCGCCGCCTGCACCGGCTCGCCCCTCACCACTACCCCGGGCCCGAGGCTGAGCCTGGCTGGCACCCTGCGGCCTCTGGCGAGCAAGCCCCCAGCCAGGGGTGGGGGAATTGGGGGCACTTCTTCCCAGAAGCCCACTGCCGTCGTGTTGGCGCATCCCCCCCCGCCCATCCCCACGAAGTCCCCTCTCCGCGGGGATCTGGGCACTTAGAGAAAGGCAGACGGTTTCTTTGGGGCATCGCAGTAAAAGAGCAGAAGGAAGCAAAGGTCTTTTTTTTTCTTTTTTTTTTTTTTTCTTTTTTTTTTTCTCTTTTCTTTGCGAGATAGACCAACAGGAAACACATTGACGGAAATGTTGCCAAAGCCCGTAGACTTTAACTGGTCTCACTGCTCGGCGGAGGGGAAAAATCAGAGAGGGGAAAGACCAGAGTAGGAATTCGGGGAAGTAAAATCAGGCGAGGGAAATTAGCGAGCCCTGGACCCGGCGCGCCTCCACGTCTGGGCTCGGGCAGCAGCTGGAACTCCGTGGTCACGCGTGTCCGCGGCCAGCCAGTGACCCTCGGCGTTGTGCCTCTCTTTGTAGGGAAGCCGCTGCTATGGAGCCCCTTCATCCAGCGGCCGCTGCACAAGAGGAAAGGGGGGCAGGTCCGCTTCTCCAACGACCAGACCATCGAGCTGGAGAAGAAGTTCGAGACGCAGAAATACCTGTCCCCGCCGGAGAGGAAGCGCTTGGCCAAGATGCTGCAGCTCAGCGAGAGGCAGGTGAGGCCATGCCCGTGCCCTGGGGAACCGCACCCCATCCCCGGGCAGCCACTGGGGCTGGCGGCACCGACCCCGTTCCGGTCCCCGCCGTGCAGTTGCTGTCGGCGCTCCGCTCCCGGGGCCCCGGCCAGCTCGGGGGCGGCAGGGAGGAGGGAGGTGGCAGGCTCTTGCTTTCTGCTCGTGGCTCGGGTAGGGCTCCCGGCACTTGCTCGCTCCAAGACTACCCCGTGCCTCCTCTCGTTGTCGTTGCTCAGGTCAAAACGTGGTTTCAAAATCGCAGAGCCAAATGGAGGCGCTTAAAGCAGGTACGTGGATGTTTCTGTTTCTATAGAAATAAGTATTTTAATTGTCTTATCTTATGCCGTGCTCGCCTATTCCAGGTTGTATGCAGAAGTCATCTGAAAAGCTGTTTAACCTCTTCACCTTGATTAAAAAGACAAATAGTCATGCTGGAATCCATGAGGACTCGTTCAGGCAGCACTAACGTTAAAAGCTCCTAATGTAGTTCCTATATCAATTATGCCCGTCTTTCACACACCACCTATTAAAACTCCACGCTAATTGTTTTGTAAACCCATATGTTGTTTAGCCAATTAACGTGGGGAAGATAAGTAATTGTCAGTAAATTACTTAGGGTTTTTTGAGAACAGTATTTACTGGTGTTTTAAATCGCCCTCTCTTAATAAACACAAGTCGATTTATTTTGCAAACGTTGGGAGAGGGAGGTACAAACACCTTGTTTGTTTTGAGGAGCCGCATGGAAAACTGAGTAGCTTTTACTTTTCGTTCACAAATAGTTACACTGTGTGAGGCTGAGAGATTAAAGCATTTTCCCTTCCCTTATATATTGTGCTCAAGCAGATAGTTATTTTTTTTCTTACGGCCCATAGGGCCCAATCCTGCCTGGCTTGGCAAAATCAAGGTCCCTTGGCTCAAATATTTTTGAAAAATCCCAACATTGTGGCCTGAGTCTGGCTTCAGTAAGTGTGACATGGATGGCTGAGTTTTACTGGTAAATCAGCCTTTAATATAAAAGTAATAAGAAAAGAAAAATAATCATAGTACCACAGTCTAGATGAATTTGTTCTGTGACCTTCATCTGAGTTAACCTGATCTTCAGTTGATTTTTTAATAAAGTCACATTACTCTGGCAAGAGGCAGGCTGGGTCCCCGGTGGGGCCCAACTCATGCCGCAGTGTCCGGAGAGCTCACTTGGGATCTCAGCCATTTTAAGTCATTTCCTCCTTTTCATTCAGTCACATCCATTTCTCCCAGCCTGCACGGTTATATCATGGGTACGTGTCTCTGCCTGCTTTCTCTTAAGAGTATCGTTTCATGCCCCCTTAGGGGACTCGGCTCTCTAGACAGCTGCCGACACAGGGCTACTCTTACCTTCAGAGACTAGGTTTTGGTTAGGTTTGGTTTTAGTGGTGAGTGTTTTAATGTTGAGTTTTAGCTTAATTAGTAATTTTTTCCCGTTTGCTTTTGGGCCACTGATGGCTTCAACCTCCCTCCTGTTGCTGTTGGGTATAATTAAAGAAAGATCAGGGCAGGAGGAAGCTGTGTGTCGGTGTTTGTAGACTCATAATAAACATTTGCTTTGCTAAAGACAAAAGTTCAGAGGTTCCTGGGCTCCAGCAGCTCCTGACTCTTTTGAAGTGGCTGCGATAACCATCGCCAAGGAGCCTATTCACGGCAGCAGGCCCTGTGGCTGTGAGGGACTGCGATCAGAGTCCTTGCCCGGCCCTGTCCCACTCAGGCAGGTTTATAGGCAGGAGGCCCAGGGAGGTAGCGGGACACCTGCCTTTTCCTGCAAGAAACCCAGGGTGGTTTTCCCACACAGCACAGCTGGAATTCCCAGGCCTCCTGTCTCTGGGCCTCGTATTTCTGTATCAAGCAGGCTTCTTTCATTGCAGGAGAATCCCCAGGCCACCAAAAAAGAAGAAGTGGAAGGTGCTGACAGTCACGGTGACCAAAGACCAGAGAGCTGCCAGACTCCTGAGCAGAAGGGTAAGGAGGTCTCTCTGGATGGCTCGCAGTACACCCCCTCGTCGGCCTCCCAGGAGGACCTGGAGTCAGATGTCTCTGATGACTCTGATCAAGAAGTGGACATTGAAGGCGATAAAGGCTATTACAATCCTACCCATTAACAGCCCCATGCAGAGAGTGGACCCTAACTTGGCTTGCACTTTACCAGGGGCTGGTTTGAAAGAATATTATGCTACAGGAGAAAACTTTCACCGTTAAACTGAAAGAAAAGCATCACCAAATAGACTCGTTTTATAATAAGCAGAGAAAGAAAGATGTATTTTCCACAAACAATCCAGTTTTGGAAGATCTCTAGTTTGGTTAAAGGAACATGGTTTGTATTTAATTATTTGTAAAATATATTTGTACAATAATCAATGTTCTAACTGGAATATAATCCTGCACCCAGTCCTTAAGGTGGCGGGGGTCGGGGTGTGTCTGAATCAGCTGCTGGTGGTGATCAGGCAAAACTCTCTAGTGTGAAAGTGAGTATGGATTGCAGGACTAAGCCCTTTGTATGTGTAAACAAATGTCATTTAAATAGATTAATTTAAACGCCCTTCGCAAGCAGAGAAACATGTTCTGTGAAATAGGGAGGGATTTGGCCATCCCAAGAAGTGCCTTATGCTCACACCCTTTTATATGCCGTGGTGCTCTCTACTGAGACATGCCTCCATTTGTCAGGTAGAGTCTTTGGACAGATTCATTTTTCCTCTCGTGTGAGATGAAATGTGCCTTCTCAGATTTTTGAGAACTTTGCCTCACAGACTGAATGGTTCCAATTGCAGAAAAAAGCCCCACCCAAACAAACATCTTTTTCTCCTTTAAAATCTCTAGCACTAGTTTTTTATGGATTTCGTATTTGAGAAGAAAGTGCAGGGAGTGATGGGGCCCTGCTGCAGGAGAGAAACTGGCATCAGGTGTGGGGGTTAAGTGGGAAGATAATGCCTATCATATACATATCTGCTTCTGTACATACTTGTTTTCTTTAAAAGTCTTACGGTTTTGTACCTCACGTTGTTCATATTTTGTACATATTTGTTCATTGTTAAAAAAAAGGCAAAACCTGATATTTAATTTTTGATGGTCATGTCTGTGAAATAAACCTAAACTCTGCACCACCTGCCACACTGGCCATTCAGTTACTGGTAGGAGAAAACCCAAACCACCTCTCTGCCAGCAATTGTGTTGTAATTGGGCTTTTCCCTCAGTGCAGTGCTGGTGGCCGGCCACCCCACAGCCTTCTGGGTGCCCTCGGTTGCGGGGATTTCATTTGGGCTCGCTGCTATGTTTTTTTTTGCTGTTTTTCAGCCTGCCACCCCGCGTTTTGGTTTTGCCTCTACCCGTGCCCGCGCGGGAACGGGCTCTGCGGCGGGAGGAGGAAAACCTGGCCGGCGAGCCCAGGCTGGAAGCTTAGGTGTTTACCCACGAGTCGCCCCGATCCTGGGGGGGCCGGGGAGGGGGAGCGGGCTGGAGGAGGAGCAGGGCCGGCGGTGCCTGCTTGGAGCTGGGCATCGACCCCAGGCAGGGCAGCCGCTGACCCACCTGAGTCAACAGTGGTTATTCATCGGCCTTTCTCCGAAATCATGCCGGCCCGGGGAAGGAGCACGGAACCTGGGGTACGGGAAATGCTCCCAGGAGCGGGTATCCCGGGTGTGCTCCCGCGCGGGTATTCCTTCCCCCAGGCGCCGCAACGAGCACCCGGGGAACAGGGACCTAGACCCGGCCAAGTGCCACAGAGGCTTTTAGTGCCAAGGAAGGTTTTTAGAGAGCAGCAAGTGACTATTGTGACTGATGAAGGGGATACCCCTTAGAGCAGCCAGGATGTTGTGTCTAAGCGGGTTAATACTCCTAGAAACATCAGCTGAGTTTTCTGAATGAGTGACTTTAGCTTTGGCTTATTCTAAATCCGCGATCATGAACGGGGCCCTAAAAGACGAAGTGATCGGGGGGTTCCGTGCACACTGGGCACAGGGAGCAGGCTCCGGCCGCCCCCCGAGCTGCTCCCGCCGGGGCCGCACCAAGGGCCGAGTGCCCGCCGTTCGCTCGGCGGCCCTGGGGCCTGGGCACCGGCCCCTGGTTTAACACCACCCGTGTCAAAGGGAGCCCCCAGGGCTCCTCTGGGGCACTTCTCCGCCGGGATCGAGCACCAGCGCGGTGCGCGCCACGCGGGGAAATCGCCGTCGGGAGCAGACAGCTCACAGCGGGGCTCCGCCGAGGAGGGGATCGCTTCTCCATCCTTCGGCTTTTCCCTCGCTCAGGGTTTCCGTCGCGGCTGTAAACCCGGGTCCCGAGGCAGACGGGAACAGCCCGCCGTGAGTCCCGGGAGCTGCGGCAGAGAGGGTGACGGAGGTGGGAGGGCCAGAAGCAGGGCAGGGAGCGCTCGAGAAGGTGCGTCCCGGCCCTCCCCGTCCGTTTTTCCTTCTCTTGTCTATCTGTCCCGAGCGAAACCAGGGACAACGAAGCTGGCGTTGCCTCTTCAAGGTGGCTTCGTGTTACGGTTGTGCTTTCGTATGGGGATGGGGACACGCGTAGGACAGAGAGTGGGCCGTGGGGTGAACTCTGGCACACCCCATTTCCACGCGTGGCAATGCCGGCGCGGGCCAGTCGCTGTCCAGGGCTCGCCCGATGCAATGGCCGGGACGGGTGCTCTGCCCGAGGCACTGCGCGGGGTCGCGGCCCCGGCGGGGTAGCGGCGTCCAGGGAAGCCGCGCCCGACAAACCAGGCGCTTTCCCCGCGGTGGCGGGGGTTTGGCAGCTCCCTGCAGGTGAGGAGCGCAGATGCGCCGTCTGCAGCTGCCTGACCAGGGATGTGGATTTCCAGAGTGTCGCGACAGGTGACAAACAGCGCTGTAACCCGGGCTGCGCTGTCGATATGTCCTTGCTCACCCGCCCACCCGGGGAGGGGGGCTCAGGGAGGCAAAACACATCGGCGGGGCCCGCTGAGCTGCCGATCAGAACTAACCAGCCAAGTAGCTGTCCCTAATTCCCCCAGCCCGTTTCCACAGCGGGAGAGGCCGATACGGAGATGCCCACGGCGAGGCGGACGAGCAGCTCTCCGCGGGCAGTCTCTGCTCCTCGGCATGAGAAAAACAGCCAGAGCACTTTACACCGTTCGGAAAACCTTCGAGCCCCTTCCGTGCCACCCTGCTCTGTCCTGTTTGTTTGCCCGTTGGCTATTCCATGCCGAACTGGCACGTATGACCTTTCCAGCACAACTCCCGTCTTGTTTTCGACGTTTTTTATCAGCCGATTCAACTTGAAAATGGTTATCATTTAGCAGAAAAACAAACACAAAAGCACATTTTTGTAAGCAAAACGTTAATGATTGGAAGAATTGCACCAATTTCAGCTTGACAGTGTGTGATTAATCCTCCGGGTCAGGTACTTATATTTTTAGTCATTAAGTTCATCGGCCTTTGATATGCAGAACTGTTTCTAGCCTAATAGGCTATCGACCCAGCCGCTGTGTACTTTGACTCCTTGCGCAGCGCGGACCCCGGCCCGCAGCGGGCACAGCCGGCGGCCCCGCGGGATGCCCGGCCGGGTGGGGCTCGTCCTCAAGGAGGCGGTCAGGGTTACCCGTGGAAGCGGCCGGAGCCACCTCTGTCCTCGCAGAATGCCCACGCGCGGGGGCAGGACGAGTCACGCGTGGGGACACGCGTGGGGCTGCGTGTCTGCGCTCCCCTCCGGTGCTGCCGCGGGGTGCGGGGGAGGGGGCAGGAGGAAATTGGATGCACGATATTTGCGTTGCGGGTCGCTTTAATCCTTCCCATTGAAACATCCTCTTTTATTGCACAATAATAGGAAATAATAACTCAGGGCTCCTAATTGTTTGCTTTCGCTGAAAAGGACCTTCCTCTGGTCATGTCGGATAAATGAAAGATTTGCCGCTCAGTTTAGTGGACAACGTGAAATGGTGTTAGGCCTCGAGGAAATCTGCTATTAGATGTTTTCTCAGAGGACAAAAAAAAAAATCAGACACACAAAAAATCTCTGCATGGGTATTATTGTGTTTTAACTACATATATAAATAACAGGTTAGTTTTTAAAGACTTAGCACATGAGAAAGTTTCAAGACAGAAAGAGCTGAAAGCCTGAAAGCATGAACAGCATGTCAGAGCATGCTGATCTGATTCAGATCAACTTCCTATTAATGTTCGGTGGTGGTTTGGGCTCAGAAAGGACAGAAAGATTGTGTCCAGGTCTGTGGGTGACAACAACTGCTTACCAAAAAAATTTTGGTGACTGTGGAGTCTCTGTCTTATTCTGAATCATGGACTTTATTGGCTGCAGGCCTCCTGAGCATAGGAAGTTTGCTTTCTTCCTATTTATTCACAACAGGAAATCAATGTGTATTTCTAAAATATTTCAGGTGGTGCATCCCAAGGCCAAAAAAAACTTGACACAATTGTGAAAAAGCCTCATCATGTTAACTTAAGTGTCTCCATTTCACAACTCCATTGTTTGAGAGCTATTGACAAGTGACTACTAAACCCGGGGAGTCTCGAGCACATCCAGACTGTGTTACTTTGGTCACTTGGAGTTATACCAGCAAATTATTATTTGGTGGAGTCTTTCAATTGAGTTGGTGACTTGTGAATTTTCCCCTGAATGTTAGATACCCACCCATGTCATAAAGACATAATCTCTAACGGGACTAATTGAGATGTAGATTTTTTTCCTACTAGATAACCCATCTATATCATTAAGCCTTAATAATAAATAGAACTAAAAGTTTTGTTTGGATTTGGGTTTTTTGGTTGTAGTTTTTTTGCTTCTGTTTAGTTTGTTGTTGTGTTGTGATTTTTTTCATGTAGAAAAAAAGGGCCTGACAATTAACAGCCAGAGTGGCTGGGCTTGTGCTTGTTCTACAGTTGTGGTAGTGACTTTTTCAGGTTTTTTTATTAATTCTTTTTCCTTTCCTGAAGGTATTGTTTAAGACGTCAAAAATGCTAGTACAATTCTGGGAAACAGATACTCCAGTTTGTTCACTCTCCAGTCAGCTTGGTAGAAGCAAACCGGTGTAAGGATATGTATTAATGACTAACAATGTATGTGATGACTTTGTAGAAGACAATTGTTGCAATGGGTATGTGTGCATGCATGTGGGCTAGACATTTTCAAGTAGCTGTTTAAAGGAACAGATTAGATCGAGGGTTTTGTCTGGGTACATTTCAGTGAAAACGAAATCAAAGTCAAAACTAATTGCTCTGGTGGCCTGTAGGAGTGAATTGGTGCTCACAGTCAGCTAGAAAGACTAATACTAAAGACAAATTGAACTTTGCATTTGTTGGTACAGTTCAGGCAAATGATTTGGGATAAACGATTGAATGGGCATGGAAAATGAGCTGCCATCTCATCAGCCTCAGGGAAGGGGCCATTTCCAGGAGACCTAATTCAATCAAGCTTATTTAAGGACTAAAAATCCCATCTGACAGACACATAGACCTCAACACTTTTAACATGATTTTAGCAGGCTGAGTTGTAGTCAGCCAGGAGCCCAGACTATGACCTGCTAAAATTTATCAGATTATCTCAGTAGACTTTTAGTAGGTCTTGCTTTTGAAAAAAGAGTGCCTGACTGAACTAAATCTACTGAAAAAAAGGGATCTTTTTCTCTTGTTGTCTAGACAAGGCCTTCATGGTTTTCCTGCATGTCAGTCCGTGCCATTACTTTGAAGATGTGTGTGAAGAAACTTCTTATTGATCCTTTCCTATGCTGTTCTCTTTGGCAGTGGGACTTCCCGTGAGCATGGCGTGCCATTTTAAGAAGTATTCTGTCATTGTCTAGACAGGTATAAAAGTTATATTTTTAGAATGACTTAGCAAACACTTTTAAACACCTTTTAGCATTTGACTTATCCTATTTATGCAAGGTTTCAAAACATGTTAGTCAAACCACATTAGCTAGTATCTTTAAAAGCCCAACTTTTTTCCTAGTCTAGATGTACTGAAAGAGAGTCCTTGTCCTGGGATATACCCATATGAGGGTACAGCCTTTTTAAAATGAGTCAGGACTGTCTGCTACCCTGCAATTGTTTCTCAATGACTTACTACAGCTATCAGGATAAAAGTCACAGGTTAAAAGGGGAAGAAGTAACTTTGTTTTATACACATC